ATGCTCGACTATTATTTGTGACATAAGCCCTAAAACTAACAAAATTAGGTAAATATGAGTATTACTGACCTCAAATGACTTAAATAAGGTAGGAAAGAGTATATAATTTTTTATACCGTGCCACCTAAGCCGAGAAGCTAGGCAGAAAGGAGTCGCAGGTGGAAGCTAGTCACATGCGGCCCTAAAGGCACGAGCTATCGTTCAGGTTAGGCGTGAGCATGGGCATCAGGTCGTCGCGTGGATCAGATTTCTTGCGTATCTCTAGGCTTGGGTTGCGAACAACTAAACTGTTGGAAGTGGGCTGTAGTTGAGGCGATGGCATGGGAAACCCGAGATTGCAACATGAAACTAAGTCCCAACGATTAGTCTCCTCCACTTGAAACTACATAATAAACCCTTGATTTTTCAAACATTCTGACGTCGTTTACGCACGAGTCTGTATATACAGTTCGTCCACTCTTTATTTGTACAACAAAACTCTCCAGTACCCTTACGTTCCTAAATCCCAACAACCTCTCTGAAAACACGAGATTTCTTCCTCTGCTTTGCCTGTCTCGAGTTTTCGTTTCACTTCTCGGTGTGTGTATAAGATGCAGAATGAGAGAGTGTTTGAATTGGTTTCAAGTGTCGTTACATTATACCCCTAAAAGGACGAAAGTATCTTCATTCCAAAATAGCTCGATATATTTCTTCCACATAAAATACATTAAATACATCGTAAATCGCTCAAAGGGATAATGGTAAGGCTGATCTATATGCAATAGGGTCCGATTCGATCCAAAATTTTAAAAGGGTCCTATAAAACATGACTCAAACCCTAGAGTCCTTAGGTGGATTTTAAAAAATATTAAAAAAATAAAAAAAATGAAATTAAACGAATTGGGTTAATGAGCATTAAGTTAGAACCGACATCAACAGCGACCACGGCGGCGGCGAGGGCTGGTTATTCGTTGAGCGACTGTTCCGGAATGAAATAAAGCTCAGCCCCAAACCCCAAACACTTTTTGAAATATCAAAGAAGTCAAAAAAGGCATTCAATTTTCCATATCTCATCATCACTTCGGAGGAGCTTACGATACTTGGAGAGGGGCCGGAGCCGAAACTGCGGCGGGAATAATCAAATTTTCTTCTAAATATCTTTCCTCAATCACCATCAATGTCGCAAAGTTCCAAATCCCCCGTCCAGGCACGCCAATTTCAACCTTCCTTGCCTTTCCTCTGTTCTCTTTACTTTTTTTAGCAATTAATTCAAACTTTGAATTCGCCTCTCACTCTCTCTCTCTCTCTCCTGTTTTCTTTTTCAATCTCAGTATCGGGCTGTACTCTCCAAATCCATGCCGTTTGAATCGCAGTCGCACAGAAAGAACTACGCCGACGAGGTAACCAGCGCTGCTGCTTTCGATGATGCGTATGCCATTTCGATGCATTCCAAACAACTCCTTGAAATCGATAACAACGCTAAACCGCCATTTCAATTCCAGCTTCCGGATACCAGGCTTGCCGTTAAAGTGAGTCTTCCTTTTTTGCCTTTTTATGTGTATTGAAGTAATACTCATTTCCTTATTCAACATTTCCGTTACCTTCAATCTTGAAACATCCAATTTGTTGTTCTTTAGCTTCTCATTGGAATGTTTACTGCTTATGGTTTAATGTTGTTTTATCGAGGAGAAAAGTAAAAAGAGAACGATCAAAAGGAAAGCGATTGAATGATTCAAACTTTCCAATACGAATGTATTTTCTGTTGTGGGTTTCAGCATTATACTGCATGTTGTTGAAAGTGGGCTTATTATTATGTCCTTCACATTGTCCGTCACCTTGTAGCAGTATCTATTAAGAACTAAGCAACTGGATGAATTGTGGGTTTCGCTTGTTTTAGCTTCCAATAACTTCAGATGGATTAAATTTGTGGTATTTTGGGGCTTGGCCTTTTTATTGCATGCTCCTCTGTAGCTGATTCCTGAACCTTTTTGCTCTATCAAATTATGCCCTTCCAGATGTATTGATGTATATTTTCTCAGTTACCGTGTTTTTTCATATCTAACTTCATGTTTCTCCACAATGCAACAAATATCAAAATGCTTATGAAGATATATTTAATTTTTGTTACCAACGCAATGTCATAACGTTTAAACATGATTTAACGCTCAGGATTTCTTTAGGACTAGAGAAGTTGCTGAGTTTGTCAGTGGAGCCTTGGCAGGGGCTATGACAAAAGCTGTGCTTGCTCCTCTTGAGACAATCAGGTTGGCTTCTCTGTAATTACTTTCATCTACAGTTCCCTCAGTTTTTTGTACATCATATAATGGCTATCTGCAAGATGATGATACTGATGATATTGCCAAATGTTCAAAGTTATATGAGCTACCATTCAAGGCGGAAAGGCAAGAATGGTGGTCTAAACAGGATGGGATAGCAGATTTGTTAGGGATCAAACTATGTCAACTTGTTAGCCATACTGAGGAAATGTACAATCTGTTGACTAGCATGGATAAAATGTTGATTTAGGTTGTATTATGTTTTGGGACGTAAAAATTATTTGGAGGGTTTCATACTCTAAAATTTGGCTTCTATAATCCTTCAATGTCATCTATGTCTTCATGTTCTAGGTTTATTAATTAGTTTATTTTGATAGTATATCATGATTACTAAACATAAAAATATGCAGGACGAGAATGGTTGTCGGTGTGGGATCAAAACAAATTGCTGGTAGCTTTATTGAGGTCATTGAGCAGCAAGGTTGGCAGGGTCTATGGGCTGGAAATGCAATCAATATGGTTCGCATAGTTCCTACGCAGGCAATTGAATTTGGAACATTTGAGTGGGTAAAACGAACAATGACGGCAGCACAGGAGAGATGGAGTAAAATGGAACGGAAAAGTGTACATATTGGCCCTGTCAATTTACATTTATCACTCTCCTGGATTTCTCCTGTTGCTGTAGGCGGTGCCGCTGCTGGTGTAGTTAGCACTCTAGCATGCCATCCTCTTGAAGTTTTGAAGGTATGACTGTCTCGTCTTGCTGTCGTAAAAAGCTTGCAGTAATATTCATTTTATATACAGAAAACTTCACCATATGCTACTTTCACGTGACCAAGATAACGTGACTGCTACTTGTACAAGTCCATTAAGATCTTGCCTAGTTGTTCCCTTCTATAGGATTTTGTGGTCCAATCTTCTTGATGTGAAAGAATTCTTCCATGAAAGTTTTGTGTGAGATCCTATATCGGTTGTAGAGGGGAACGAAGCATCGTCTATAAAGGTGTGGAAACCTCTCCATACCAGACGCATTCTAAGACCTTGACAGAAAGCCCGAAAGGGAAAGCTCAAAGAGGACAATATTTACTAACAGTAGGCTTGGGCTGCTTCAAATAGTATCAGAGCCAAACACTAGGCAGTGTGCCAGCGAGGACGCTGCCCCCAAGGGGGTGGATTGTGAGATCCCACATCGGTTAGAGAGGAGTATGAAGCATTGCTTATATGAGTGTGAAACACTCTCCCTACCAGATGTGTTTTAAAACCTTAAAGGAATGACCAAAGAGGACAATATCTGTTAGCGGTGGGCTTGGGCTTGAGCTTGAGTTGTTACACTTTGAAAAATCATCCACTTGTTAATTTCTTCAGCTATGAAAACTGTTGTTTTCGCTTACATTCTAAATGCAGGATCGCTTGACAATCAGTCCCGAGGTTTATCCTAATTTAAGCGTTGCAGTTAGCACGATTTACAAAGACGGCGGCCTTGGTGCATTTTATGCGGGTATTTCACCTACACTCGTTGGCATGCTTCCATACAGTACAAGTTATTATTTCATGTACGAGACAGTGAAGAACGCATACTGCCTAAAGAAGAAAAAGAAATCTCTTAACCGTATAGAGATGCTTCTGGTTGGAGCTCTTTCAGGTGAGTAATTTGACCTTAATGGTGAAATTGCTGTTTCTATTTCTCTACAAATAATTCATGAAAGAGAATGTGATTCGATTCTGTTCTTAAAAAATGAGAATTTTTTGCTTCTATTTCAATTGTTATAGTCCTATTAACTAAGTTCATGGAGAGGAGGTCTGCTTAATTTGAAATTTCTGTACATAAATTTGCTTCTATTTATGATTTCTTTGACTGGATTTATGGTTTGATGAGTGATGATGCACATGTCGTGCATATGTACTTGGTAGTTATGACCGAAAAACATACGGTTTGACTCCCATATCAAGGGTGGTTGGTCAAGTTTCAAGCATATGTGTTTAGGATTTTATAGACTAAAAGTCAATGAATGGTGTAAAATGGGGCCATGCAGTGTTAGAAAGTTTTTAAAGATTTTTACGTTATGACGCCGAAATCGAGTTTTAATGTGATGTGTGTAGGTTTCACCGCGAGCACAATCAGTTTCCCTCTGGAAGTGGCTAGAAAGCGACTGATGGTAGGAGCTCTACAGGGGAAATGCCCACCAAACATGGCAGCAGCAATTACTGAAGTGGTCCGGGAAGAAGGCCTTAAGGGACTCTACAGGGGATGGGGTGCTAGCTGTTTGAAGGTAATGCCTTCTTCTGGCATCACCTGGATGTTTTATGAGGCCTGGAAGGACATACTTTTGGTCAACAATAACCATATATGACTTCTCCCAGCCCCCACACAGTTCTCTTCCTTTTCTCCTTTTGTCCCTTTTATTTATCTAGAATACTAAACCTGGACCCACTATGGTCTAATTTTAAAACGCCTGTTGGTGGGCCAGGGCAAGTTGAAAACAAGCCAATCTATGAGCTCCACCTGCCATTCTCACTTACGGAAGTGAGCTACAATTTTGGCCCCTTGGGGTGCCTGCTCTGTACTGAATAAACAATTTTTATGAAAGTTTCTCATCGTGATCGACACATGGTTGGTGTGTATTATAAGTATGTGCATGTCCTTATTTGAACAAGCAACGTTCAAACTTACTAATTTCTACGATGGCAAGTGGATTATCAACTTTTAAACCATCCTTTCATGTACCATATTGAAAAGAACCATGGCGAAAGGAATTGTACTCTAAACTATTTTAATTGCTGAACCAGTTCCTTCGGCAGTACATGTATAGGTTTTTTAGTAGGCTAACAAAACACCGAAAAGGTACATTAGAAAAAACTAATTAAATTAGTACTGAAGGAATCGTCGTGATGGGAGGAGAGACGTCTGCCTGTAGACCAAAAATTCGAACGAGAGACTTCTTTCTTCACTCGTGAATTCTTGGTTTAGAAGGTAATTTTCCAGCGACATTGGTTGATCTACTCTTTGAATTGCTATGTTTTTCTACCTTGTGATCATTTGCTGACTTCTGCTTCCGCAATGTATCATCAGCATATCGACGCCAAAGTGCTTCCCTTTCCTTCCTTGGGAGTTTACTGTATCTGGGATCGGGTTTCAATGTTCGTTTGGCCATTGTCCATGAATTAAGAACTGTCTTTCCATCTTCAGATGCCTGAGAAACTACCTCGGCTGTAAATGCTTCAGATAATAGAGTTCTAAACTCGTTTGCACACCGCTGCAGAAAAAACGGAAAAGAAATGAGAGACAAATGCGGTTAGCAAACTGCAACAGCCATAAATTTTCACTTTCCAGTTGTAATGCAGTGAAAAGACAAGTGAGTAATCAACCCACTAAAGGGAACAACTCTCAAGTCTCAATTCATGTTAAATACGTGGAAAACAATTATCAAGTCATACATGTTAAGTCTTTTCCAATTCACTTCGTTGAAGCATTACGAAATTGACTAGAAATATAGACAATGAATTGCTTCCCAATTTTTTTTCGAAGTACATTTGCTTTGGTGATAGATATTATGATAACCAGAAATTTGGGATAGAAATAAGACAAGCACATAGTTTTCATAACATGAATCTTAGTAGAGAGAAGATTATAACAGATTCATAAATATGGTGTCCTAAATTAGAATAGTCGTTTTATACTTATGGTGTCCTAAATTAGAATAGTCGATTTATACAGAATGGTAAATTGAGACTGAACGTATCATTACAAGCTTCTGATGAAAATGAGAAGCAAAGAAATGTAAAACCCATCAATGGAAGACAGATAATGCGATAACCAGAAGGATAGAGAACTAAGATGAGCACATAGTTTTCATAACATTTAAATCCTAGTAGAGAGTTAGAGATGCGGGAAAAATATGAGAGAACCAAATATTGGATTGCCTCCAGTTATATTAAAAGCCCCGAAAAGCCATATAAACTTCATGATTTGATATAAGATCAGCTCAAATTCAAATTATATACTTCATGAAAAAATATTGAACTTGATCTGCAAATGTTAGTGAAAAGGATGAAAAATCAAAGATCAGCGAGTTGTAGAATTACCTCTTGCAGCATCTTTACATGTTCTCTGAATAGCTTTTCTGTGTCAGATGAATCTAAATCAGGATTGGATGCACGCCCTTGCGGATCCTTCTCCAATTTAACTTTTGACTCAGACCAAGAGGCCTAAGCAAAAAACAAAACAAAAAAGGTGCTAGTTAACACTGCAGGATCAACCAAACCAGATCGTATTTGACTACTGTTCATTAGTAGGGAGGGATTGAATAGATGTTTAATAAAAATAAATAAATTTCTAATGACTTATGGTTAACTTCATGACAGGCAATTTTCAGTTAAAATTTAAATTATTGTATGCCTTTAAATTCACCAGCAAAAGACACCTCAACCGCTACAACATTTGGACTGATCAGACAAACCAGGCTCCATTTTTCTTAGTCCTAATTACCCTCCTCCTTATCTCTCTTTCCTTTCTTCATTTTTTCCAAAACTAGCCACAGAATCATGGTACAAAAGATATACCTGAGGGTCTTTGATCGACTCAACAAGCAATGCTTGAAAAGATGCAACAGCCTCTTTCTTCCGTACTTTTAGGCGCACCCTTTCCATTTCTTGCTCTTCTCTTTCCTTCCGTTTCCGCCATTCTCTCTCCCTTTCCTTCAGTTTCTCCTGAAATAAGCATTAGAAAATAAGTAGAATTATTCAGCATGGCTTCCATCTATTGTCGAACACTTAGGTAGGATTCTAATCTTGTGTAACAAAACAACTGTGATATGGTGGCACAATTATTATCAGCGGAAGTTAAGTTTTATGCACCAAACAGGGCACTATTTGATCTTGGTGGTTTTTGTCTATATTCTTTTACAATTATTTTTGGAAAAGCAAAGGCAAAACGGAATTACAGTGGATAAGCCAAAACACATAAGCATAAAAAATCTCCCTAGTTTAGAGACTAAAGAAGCACGTCTTATCCAAATGAACAAGAAATTTTGAGCGATTACAAAAGTGTTTGTGGAGAACACATGTAACTAGAAGCTAAATAATGTAGTTGTTTCTCGTTGAAAAAAGAAGCTATATACTGTACACTTCCCAAAATAACATAAAAACCATAATTAACACACAAAATACTGTTGTTCTGCTCCAGTTACAAGGACCAGAGAGGGGCTTCAGAGAAATTCTTCCAGATCAACCTTGCTTTTATTTTTTTTTTCCCTTGTTTCTTTTCTAGCCACCAACCCGATCCTTTCGTGGAGAGCAAAGATAGTTTCTTTAGGAGCACAACAAATAATAGAAAACTTATTGCAAAAGTGAGTTCACCTTTTTATAGGCTTGGTTATGAGAATGATTTATATTTTTTTAGGAAACAGAAACTATTTTATTGATGTGATGAGATGTATAGAAAATTCCAACCAACAAGCAATTACAAAAGGTACGCCCAGTGAGTAATGAGAGTAGACAAGCTGTAGTTAGAAAAAGAGAAGCATATTTACTCTAACACAAAGATAAAAAGGAAGTAGACTCTATAAAACTATATGTGACTTCGATACATTTTTTCTTATCTGAAAAGATGAAATTCTTGCCCTCAAGCCACAAACTCCAAATGGAAACCCAAATGAAGTTCAACCATAAGATCTTTTTCTCCGTTTTAAAGGGGCATCCTGCAAGAACAATTGAGGGAAGAATAGGAATGTCTTCAAGCCCAGCCGGCTCCATCCAAAAGAAGATGATCTATAATTTCATCTCTTTACAGATCACTAGCTCTTTTTATTCTTGGGGAGTAATAAATGGATTCCACTACGGATGATATCAATACATTTGTGGAAGAAAGGGATTTCTTCATCCCTTTATCAGAACTACAGACACTTAAAAGAAGCCAGGCTGTTGTTGAATCACCTCAAGGGAGCTCTTTTTGCTATCCTTATCTTCAACAGGAATAGTTACTTGAATCCCAAAAAGTTAAGTAATTGAAGCTTCTTTTTTGTGAACCTTGATTACCCCTAATAAATTTTTTAAATAAATTTTTATAAAACAAAAACCGAGACAGATCCATGGTCCACATATTCAAACAGGAAAGAAATATTTTGATAGGATGATCCACGGCTTGAAAATGCTCCTCTTAGATTTAACTACCCAAGACTACAATGCAGCACCTGTCACCTCACCTTGCCTCTTTCCCAAATAACTAACCGAAATAGACGAACATACAACTTAACTATGATAAAAGCAGGTTCCTGTAACAAGTAATTTGGAATTTCAGATAAGCTTACCTGCTCCTCCTTTTTAGCTTTTGACTCGCGCTGCTTTTCTTCCTCAACAGCCTTAAGTTCAGATATGTACTCGTTGAATAACATCTCACGGTCCTCATGCTTAACAGATCTATATCTTGGGTCATCCCGTAGACTATCTTTTACCTATAATAGCATATCAGAAAGGGGAAGAGAGGGAAATAGTTACATGTATGTTTCAAAATAGTGTAACGTTGTAGTCCAAAGTGTAGCATTTCACACTCGTTACAATTTACTGCAAACGAGAAGAGCAAAAATGAAAAGATCATTAACTTCGCTTACTCTGAATGACTGAATCGAAAAAGAATTACACAATATCTTTCCTCAAATTTGTAAGTCCTGAAACCGGTCCAGAATGGTTGAAAATTAATAAATTCTATGAATTTTTCAGGTTCTTTCTCTCGACAATCAGAAAACATGAGCAAGACATAAAGATCAAAAAACTAAGAGTTTGTATCCAAAAAAGTAAAAATAAATAAAACCTGGGCCCTTCAGAAATCACTCCTGTAACACACAAAATAGAATAAAAAGATCTCTATTGCCTCAAACCCCATCAAAGATATCATATGAAATGCTACTGTCCAGCCTTTGCAAATTTCCTCAAGTTTTACTGATACTAATCTTCCCCAAGGACTGGTGAAGAGCTGTTGAGAGCCACCCACTAAACACTAGTTTACTATTTTCAACATTTCTAATGTCCATTATTAAGGGAAGTCTGCTGTGTACCTCCTTAACTAAATCATTATTTAGCCACCTGAGTTCAACAAATTTCCTTATGTAAAGAGAAGGAAAAAAAGAACCATTGACATGTAGGATAGATAATCATATACTCTCCAGAAAATGAACTACCAATTCAGCATGGTGCACCCACCCTCAACCAACGGGAATTGACGTTGATATCTCCTCTCTCCTGCAGCATGGACTTGAAACTCGTGGTGGAAGCAGCCCATAAAGCTTGAGCCTTTTCAACGGCAGCCTTCTTCAGACAAAGGACCCTACAAGTTATATTGAGGTATCATCCAGCTAAAACTCAACATAATAAATTAAAGTTAAAGGGCAGATCAAACATAAATCTGATTACTAGCCTACTACCTTGTTGACTCAAGTTTCTTTTTCAGGGGTTATCAATAGTAAGCACTTTCTGTGTACAAAACTGTTTATACTACATTTGAATAAGTATCCACCTAGAGTAAGACCATATCAAAAGAGGACAGACATATCGAAGAAATGACGCAACCAAATTTCAAATTCCAAAAGGCGTGATCACAAGGCCTAACAAAAACAGGAGTAAATGGCAATGTGGGGCTTTAAAGATAAAGGCTCCTAATATAACATGTAGAAGGGCCAAAGTTCCAATTTGCAGAAAAAAATAAGTATGATCCAACATTTGTTGGCCCTCACAGTCAATCTATGTTAAATTAAAAAGGAGGCACATTAAGTATAGATCTTTTACAAAAGATAAACTGCAATGAAGTTATTTCTAGGATAAACCAACCCTATTTAACATCTAAAAGCTTGACTTCACAATTTTAAATATAAATGATAAACTATTATTCGTGTTGTTTAGAGACAAACAAAAAAGACGACTACAGTGAAAAATTTTCCAACAATATTGTCTACGTGCATGCACACATAATAGGCCAAATAGTATATTTTTTTCATGGCATAGAAATTGATGGACATGTACGGTCATGACTGTGGTGCATGCCTTCATAATTAAGGGGCCAAAGTTGTTGTTAATTAAGGGGAAAGGAAAGAATAAATCATGCACGAAAAGTTCAAAGAAAGATATGAAAAATTTCGAGTCTCCCTCCACCCTTAAATATCTCAGATCAAATAACCTTGTAATTTGCACTTTAAGGGGGGCATTTAATCAAAGTCAGAGAGGGTAAGATGTTTGGCAATGAGATGCAAAGAATTAAGATGTCTGTATGTGATTTAGCATGTATTTTCTCTATTGAAATTTCAATAGTCAACTTTGGCATCAAAATACCACCTTACAAAGCCGTATTTCACCCGACAGGACAATTGCCAATCATATTAATCAACTTCGCCAGCTAGAGGAGTGAACTATGACATTAAAAAATCAAGAAGAATGCACGAAAAAAGAGCTATTAAGTACTGGACAAGAAAACTGTTATAGCTAATCATTAAATGGCACCTTTCACTCAATAAATTCTCCCGATCCTTACGATCCAAAGCTTCAAACCGCGGGTCATTGCCCCATTTCTTTTTGAATGTTTGATAACTAGTTGTGTGATCAATATCCTAAAAATAAATAATTACACAGTAGTTAGTACGTAAAATTAAGGACATACTTGACTCTATTTAGAGGGATTTTATAATCTGATATTGGAAACAAATTAGGTTGACCTAAAAAAAAAAAAAAAAAAAAAAAAAA